GCTACCCCCCCCACCCTGGGGTCCCCCTCCGATCCCTGCAGGCTCCGGGGTCCCTCCCCCATCCTTGGGGGTCTCCCGGGGTGGCTCTGCCCCCACCACCCACGTGTCCCCCCCGTGCAGGTGCTGCCAGAGCCGGCTCCGCTCGCATGTCCAGGTGTCACCCGTGTCCTGTGCTCGTGCCACGCTCGCCCCGTGCGGGGGGGGGCTGCCCCCCCCCAGGACCCCCCCGGGACCCCCCGATCGGGGCTTGGGCCGCGGTGGGGGCGGCGCCGGGGCCGCCCGAGCTGCCTTAACATGGAGATCCCCCAGTGTCCCCATGGAGATCCCCCAGCCAGGCCAGGTCAGACACTGCTGGAGGGGATGCTGCAGGCACCAGAGCCTTCCTGAGGAGCAGGGACACATCCAGAACTTTCTAGAATTCAGGGACACATCCAGAGCCTTCCTGAAGAGCAGAGAGACATCCAGAGTGTTCGTGAGGAACGGGGAATTCTGAGGGTCCAGAACTTTCCAGAAGAGCAGAGACACATCCAGAGCTGTCCTGAGTGCAGGGAGGCTCAGCCCAGCCCTCCCCATCCTGCTGGGTGCTCCCTCGGTCACAGGAGGACGACCTGCCTGTCCCCAGAGTCCAGCCCAGGCCGGGCTCAGCCGGGGGAGCAGCTCTGGGGTCCCTCCGCCCCTCCCAGTGTCCCCATGCCACAAGGCATGGGGACACTCCAGCGCCTCGAGGTCACTGTCCCCACGCCTTGTGGTCACTGCAGCCCCTTGTGGTCACTGCAGTGCCTCATGGTCATTCCAGCCCCTCGTGGTCACTGTCCCCACGGCCCTGCCCGGTCACCGCAGCCGCTCCAGCCGCTCCTCCTCAGCCTGTGCCAGGGGCTCTGTCACACCCAGGGGCTCAGGGTCACACCCATGGCTCTGTGTCACACCCTGAGCTCTGTGTCACACCCAGGGCTCTGTGTCACACTCAGGGCTCTGTGTCACACCCATGGCTCTGTGTCACACCCAGGGCTCTGTGTCACCCCCTGAGCTCTGTGTCACACCCCAGGCTCTGTGTCACACCCTGAGCTCTGTGTCACACTCAGGGCTCAGGGTCTGTGTCACATCCCGTGTCTCCGTCCCTCAGCTCCATCCCTCGGGTTCCCCATTGCCTCCGGGACCCCCATTGCCCCCATCCTGTGTCCCTGTCCCTCGGTTCCATCCCCCAGGATCCCATGCCACCATCCCCCCGGGATCCCCACTGTCCCCATCCCTGGGCTCCATCCCCCTGGGACCCTCATTGCCCCCGGGACCCCTGTTGCCCCCATCCGGTGTCCCCATCCTGTGTCCCCATCCCATGTGCCCGTCCCTTGCCTCCATCCCCTCAGGGATCCCGTGTCCCCATCCCCCCGGGACCCCCATTGCCCCCATCCCGTGTCCCCATCCCTCGGCTCCATCCCCCAGGATCCTGTGTCCCCATCCCGTGTCCCCATCCCCCGGGACCCCCATTGCCCCATCCCGTGTCCCCATCCCGTGTCCCCATCCCGTGTCCCCATTCCGTGTCCCCGTCCCTTGCCTCCATCCCCTCAGGGATCCCGTGTCCCCATCCCCCAGGGATCCCCATTGCCCCTCATCCCTGGGCTCCATCTCCCGCTATCCCATGTCCCCATCCCCCCACTCGGGGGTCCACGGGGGTCTCCCCATTCCCGGGGGTCCCACCGCCCCTCCCCAGATCAACGAGCTGAGCCAGGTGCCGCTGCCCGTGATGCTGCTGCCCGACGACTTCAAAGCCAGCTCCAAGATCAAGGTCAACAATCACCTGTTCAACAGGTGAGTGCCGGGGGGGGCACGGGGGCAGCGTCCCGGGGGGGACCCCAAAAACTCACGTGAGCCCCCCCCTCAGGGAGAACCTGCCCAGCCACTTCAAGTTCAAGGAGTACTGTCCCCAGGTGTTCCGCAACCTGCGCGAGCGCTTCGGCGTCGACGACCAGGACTACCAGGTGGGCTGGGGACCCCGGGCCACCTGTCCCCACCCCGTGTCCCCAGGGTCCCTGGAGTGGGGTGGTTGGGTCACCTGTGTCCCCTGGCCATGTGTCCCCCAGGGTCCCTGGAGTGGGGCTCTGGGCCACCTGTCCCCAGCCCCGTGTCCCCAGGGTCCCTGGCATGGGGCAGCTGTGTCACCTGTGTCCCTGGGGGTGGCTGTGTCACCAGTGTCCCTGTCTGTGTGCCCCCCAGGGTCCCTGGTGTGGGGTGGCTGTGTCACTGATGTCAGCTGTGTCACCTGTGTGCCCAGGGGTGGCTGTGTCACCTGTGTTCCTGGCTGTGTGCCCCCAGGTGTCCCTGGGGTGGCTGTGTCACTGGTGTCCCTGTCTGTGTCGCTTGTGTCCCCTGGCTGTGTGTCACCGGTGTCCCTGTCTGTGTCACCCCTGTCCCCGTGTGTCCCAGGTGTCCCTGTCTGTGTCCAGGTGTCCCTGGGGGTGGCTGTGTGTCACCAGTGTCCCTGGCTGTGTCCCAGGTGTCCCTGTCTCTCCCAGGTGTCCCTGTCTGCGTCCCAATTGTCCCTGGCTTGGGGTGCCTGTGTCACTGGTGTCCCTGTCTGTGTCCCTGTGTGTCTCCAGTGTCCCTCTCTGTGTGTCCCCGGTGTCCCTGTCTGTGTCCCTGTGTGTCCCCAGTGTCCCTGTCTGTGTGTCCCAGGTGTCCCTGTCTGTGTGTCCCAGGTGTCCCTGTCTGTGTGTCCCAGGGGTCTGTGGGTGGCTGTGTCCCTGTCTGTGTGTCACTGGTGTCCCCGTGTGTCCCAGGTGTCCCTGCCCGTGTGTCACCGGTGTCCCCGTGTGTCACCGGTGTCCCTGTCTGTGTGTCCCAGGGGTCCGTGGGTGGCTGTGTCCCTGTCTGTGTGTCACCGGTGTCCCCGTGTGTCCCCGATGTCCCTGTCTGTGTGTCCCAGGTGTCCCTGTCTGTGTGTCCCCAGTATCCCTGTCTGTGTCCCCAGTGTCCCTGCCCGTGTGTCACCGGTGTCCCCGTGTGTCCCAGGTGTCCCTGTCTGTGTGTCCCAGGGGTCCGTGGGTGGCTGTGTCTCTGTCTGTGTGTCCCCGGTGTCCCTGCCCGTGTGTCACCGGTGTCCCCGTGTGTGCCAGGTGTCCCTGGCGCGCAGCCCCCCGCGCTGGGCGGGCAGTGGGCACCGCCTGCTGCTCTCGGCTGACCGCACGCTGGTGCTGAAGGAGCTGTCGAGCGAGGACGTGGCCGATGTGCACGGGCTGCTGTGCCACTACCACCAGGTACGGGCAGGGGACACCTGTGTCCCTGGGTGTCACCGGTGTCCCTGGGGGTGTCACCTGTGTGCCCAGGGTGTCACCTGTGTCCCTGGGTGTCACCTGTGTGCCTGGGGGTCACCTGTGTCCCTGGGTGTCACCTGTGTGCCTGGGGGTCACCTGTGTCCCTGGGATGTCCCTGGGGGGGTGTCCCTGTCTGTGTGTCCCAGGGGTCTGTGGGTGGCTGTGTCCCTGTCTGTGTGTCACTGGTGTCCCCGTGTGTCCCAGGTGTCCCTGCCCGTGTGTCACCGGTGTCCCCGTGTGTCACCGGTGTCCCTGTCTGTGTGTCCCAGGGGTCTGTGGGTGGCTGTGTCCCTGTCTGTGTGTCACTGGTGTCCCCGTGTGTCCCAGGTGTCCCTGCCCGTGTGTCACCGGTGTCCCCGTGTGTCACCGGTGTCCCTGTCTGTGTGTCCCAGGGGTCTGTGGGTGGCTGTGTCCCTGTCTGTGTGTCACTGGTGTCCCCGTGTGTCCCAGGTGTCCCTGCCCGTGTGTCACCGGTGTCCCCGTGTGTCACCGGTGTCCCTGTCTGTGTGTCCCAGGGGTCTGTGGGTGGCTGTGTCCCTGTCTGTGTGTCACTGGTGTCCCCGTGTGTCCCAGGTGTCCCTGCCCGTGTGTCACCGGTGTCCCCGTGTGTCACCGGTGTCCCTGTCTGTGTGTCCCAGGGGTCCGTGGGTGGCTGTGTCCCTGTCTGTGTGTCACCGGTGTCCCCGTGTGTCCCAGGTGTCCCTGTCTGTGTGTCCCAGGGGTCCGTGGGTGGCTGTGTCTCTGTCTGTGTGTCCCCGGTGTCCCTGCCCGTGTGTCACCGGTGTCCCCGTGTGTCCCAGGTTTCCCTGGCGCGCAGCCCCCCGCGCTGGGCGGGCAGTGGGCACCGCCTGCTGCTCTCGGCTGACCGCACGCTGGTGCTGAAGGAGCTGTCGAGCGAGGACGTGGCCGATGTGCACGGGCTGCTGTGCCACTACCACCAGGTACGGGCAGGGGACACCTGTGTCCCTGGGTGTCACCGGTGTCCCTGGGGGTGTCACCTGTGTGCCCAGGGTGTCACCTGTGTCCCTGGGATGTCCCTGGGGGGGTCACCGGTGTCCCTGGGGTGTCACCTGTGTGGCTGTGTCACTGGTGTCCCTGGGGGTGGCTGTGTCCCTGGATGGCCGTGTCACGCTGTCCCCGGGTGCCTGTGTCCCCCTGTCCCCAGGGATGGCCATGTCCCCTGTCCCCGGGTGCCTGTGTCCTCTGTCCCCAGGTGCCCATGTCCCCTGTCCCTGGTGTGCCCGTGTCCCCTGTCCCTGGGGATGGCCGTGTCCCCTGTCCCTGGTGCCCGTGTCCCCTGTCCCTGGGTGCCCGTGTCCCCTGTCCCTGGTGCCCGTGTCCCCTGTCCCCGCAGTACGTGGTGCAGTGCCATGGGCAGACGCTGCTGCCGCGGTTCCTGGGCATGTACCGGGTGAGCGTGGACAGCGAGGACACCTACCTGCTGGTCATGAGGAACCTGTTCAGCCACCGCCTGCCCGTGCACAGGAAGTACGACCTGAAGGTATTGGGGTGTCCCCTGAGCCCCTCTGGCCCTGCCATGGGGCAGCCTCCCCCCAAAAACCCTCCTGTCCCCTCTGTATTGGTATTGGGGTGTCCCCTGAGCCCCTCTGGCCCTGCTGTGGGGCAGCCTCCCCCAAACCCTCCTGTCACCTCTGTTTTGGGTTTTGGGGTGCCCCCTGAGCCCCTCTGACTCCTCCTGTGGGGCAGCCTCCCCCAAATCCCTCCTGTTCCCTCTGTATTGGGGTGTCCCCTGAGCCCCTCTGGCCCTGCTGTGGGGCAGCCTCCCCCAAACCCTCCTGTCCCCTCTGTTCCCTCCAGGGCTCCCTCGTGGACCGAGAGGCCAGTGACAAGGAGTGTGTCCCTGGGGTGTCGCCTGTGTGGCTGTGTCACTGGTGTCCCTGGGGGTGGCTGTGTCCCTGGACGGCCGTGTCACGCTGTCCCCGGGTGCCCATGTCACACTGTCCCTGGGGATGGCCGTGTCCCTGGGTGCCCGTGTCACACTGTCCCCGAGTGGCCATGTCACACTGTCCCCGGATGGTTGTGTCACACTGTCCCCAGGGGTGGCCGTGTCCCCGGGTGGCTGTGTCACGCTGTTCCCATGTGGCAGTGTCCCGGTGTCCCCCTGTCCCTGAGTGCCTGTGTCCCCTGTCCCTGGTGTGCCCGTGTCCCCTGTCCCCGGGGATGGCCGTGTCCCCTGTCCCTGGTGCCCGTGTCCCCTGTCCCCGCAGTACGTGGTGCAGTGCCACGGGCAGACGCTGCTGCCGCGGTTCCTGGGCATGTACCGGGTGAGCGTGGACAGCGAGGACACCTACCTGCTGGTCATGAGGAACCTGTTCAGCCACCGCCTGCCCGTGCACAGGAAGTACGACCTGAAGGTATTGGGGTGTCCCCTGAGCCCCTCTGGCCCTGCCATGGGGCAGCCTCCCCCCAAAAACCCTCCTGTCACCTCTGTTTTGGGTTTTGGGGTGCCCCCTGAGCCCCTCTGGCCCTGCTGTGGGGCAGCCTCCCCCAAACCCTCCTGTCACCTCTGTTTTGGGTTTTGGGGTGCCCCCTGAGCCCCTCTGACTCCTCCTGTGGGGCAGCCTCCCCCAAATCCCTCCTGTTCCCTCTGTATTGGGGTGTCCCCTGAGCCCCTCTGGCCCTGCTGTGGGGCAGCGTCCCCGTAAAAACCCTCCTGTCCCCTCTGTATTGGGTTTTGGGGTGTCCCCTGAGCCCCTCTGGCCCTGCTGTGGGGCAGCCTCCCCCAAACCCTCCTGTCCCCTCTGTTCCCTCCAGGGCTCCCTCGTGGACCGAGAGGCCAGTGACAAGGAGAAGGTACTGCAGGAGAATGCTGTGAACCCCCCAAATTTTGGAGGGGGTGGTCTCCATGCCTCGGTTTCCCCCCTCCCCAATAATGACAGCTCACGGCCTGCCCCCCTCCCCCCACGAATGTTTCCCTGGGGAGGGGCTGGGGGGGTCCTGCAGCCCTGGGGTGCCCCCTCCAGCTCAGGGGTGTCCGGGGGGGCTGCACCCCCTGTCCCTCCCCAGGGCAAGGAGCTGCCCACCCTGAAGGACGTGGATTTCCTCAACAAGAACGAGAAGGTGTTCGTGGAGGAGGAGCAGCAGCGCGACTTCATGGACAAGCTCAAGCGGGACGTGGAGGTGGGGATGGGGGGCTGCACCCCCAGGGGCTCTGAGGGGACTGGGGGGGACTCTCCCCACCCAAAGTGACCCTTTGTTTGGCCTCCCTGTGCCCACGCTCTGAGGGTTTGGGGGGAGGCTCCCCTGTGCCCTGGCTCTGAGGATTTGGGGGGCTCTCCCTGTGGCCATGAGAGTGTCCCCCACCCCTAATGACCCCTTGCTTGTCCCCCCAGCCCTGAGAGTTGGGGGGTTTTTGGGCTGTGGGGGTCTCTTTCTCAGTGCCCAGGCTCTGGGGGTTTTGGGGGGCTCTCCCTGTGACCCCTAATGACCCCTTGTTTGTCTCCTCAGCCCTGAGAGTCCAGGGGGTTTTTGGGCTGTGGGGGTCTCTTTCTCAGTGCTCAAGCTCTGAGGATTTGGGGGGGCTCTCCCTGTGGCCATGAGAATGTCCCCCACCCCTAATGACCTCCTGCTTGTTCCCCCAGCCCTGAGAGTCCGGGGCTTTTTGGGCTGTGGGGGTCACAGTGTCCAGGCTCTGAGGGTTTTGGGGGGCTTTCCATGGCCATGGGGATGTGCCCCACCCCTAATGACCCTTTGTTTGTCCCCCCAGCCCTGAGTGTCCAGGGGGTTTTTGGGGACCATGTCCAGTATTTGATGGCTGTGGGGGTCACAGTGTCCAGGCTCTGGGGGTTTTGGGGTGAAGCCCCCGAGTGTTTTGGGGTGACCTCCCCCAATTCCCGCCGTGTCCCCTCAGTTCCTGGTGCAGCAGAAGCTGATGGACTACAGCCTGCTCCTGGGCATCCACGAGGTGGAGCGGGGCGAGCAGGAGGAGGAGGAGGAGCTGGAGGAAGAGGAGCTCGGGGGGGGCGATGACGGGGGGCTGGGGGGCCCCTATGGCACCTCCCCGGAGGGTCTGGGGGGGCTCCTCAACTCCTACCGGCCCCTGGGGCCCGGCGAGTTCGACCCCTGCGTG